AAGCCCCTCACCCACAAAACCTTCTTTACCCCCTCCCTCCAACCTTTTCGAGGACAACCCCTACCCCTCCTTCCTTCCCCTACAGATTTATACGCTCACCAAGTCATTCTGTTTTGATCCATTCTCTTTAAATGACCAGACTACCTCAACAACCCCTCTTTAGTCCTCTTAGACCAAAAGAAAGCACGAATGATGCTATTGTACAAATGCTTGACCTAATATGCACAGCTCTCGATAAGAATGAATATTCCCTGGGGCTCTTTATTGACCTAAGAAAAGCGTTTGACACAGTTGACCACAATCTCTTGCACTTCAAACTGAATCATTATGGCATAAGAGGACATTCTCTTGACTACCTAAAATCCTATCTTAACGGCAGACACCAGTATGTATATGCAAATGGAGTCAACTCCGCTCTCCAACCTGTAGCTGTAGGAGTACCCCAAGGTAGTGTCCTAGACACACTCCTCTTTCTCATCTACATCAATGATCTCCCCAATGCGTCCCAACTTTTTACACCAGTTCTATTCGCAGATGACACTACATATGTCTACTCCCATTCAGACCCAGCTGTGCTTGAAAACACTGTAAACAATGAACTACTAAAGATATATGCTTGGATGATAACCAACAAACTCACACTCAGCATAGACAAAACTTACTTCATGCTGTTTGGCAACAGAGCCTCAAATATTCAACTCAACATACTGTTAAATGACTCCCGTATATCAAGGCACATTGAGGGCAAATTTCTAGGTCTTCTCCTTGACTGTAATCTTAAATTTCAGTCCCATACCCATCACATAGCCAAGAAAATTTCCAAATCAGTAGGAATCCTTTCCAAGATATGCTACTATGTACCACAAACAACTCTCCTTACCCTGTACCACTCTCTAATATAGCCTTACCTCACCTATGGTATTTGTGCCTGGGGCTCAACGACAGCCAGCCACCTTAGACCCTTAATAATCCAACAAAAAGCTTGTGTTAAAGTAATAACCAGCTCCTATGCTAGACAGCACACCCCACCACTTTTCAAAAGACTCAACTTGCTAAATATACAAGACATACATGCACTCTTATTATTGTACCTATTACATATACAAAACTTCAAACTCCACTGTAAACCCTCCCCTAAAACTACTACTCGACAGTTACAACAGAATGTACAGTCACAATACAAGGCATAAGGCCCTTTTCAACATCCCTCGAGTAAGACTCTCACTATGTAAGAACGCTATGCACATAAAAGGCCCAAAGATCTGGAACTCGCTACCGGAACAGGTCAAGGATCCCCAGACAACTTATAAATTTAGGACTCTGCTAAAAAATCATCTTATCTCACAATATTAACCAAATCAACCAAACATCTACTGACTAGTTTTATCATGTGACTACCTGACTTTTAATTCTGCCATTCCATAAAATATTACCACCTGCACCATTCCTTGTAAATTATATTTTGTACTAAGTATACATAAGATTTATTAAGTCCAAATAAGATTGTAAAACAGCTAGCCACTATTCTATGTTTAGTTTTAAGTAATAATTACTATGTACTTTTATATTATCTATTTTTTTTTAGTTATTATGTATTTGGATTAGTTTGCCCGAAATGCCTGGGCATGATAGTGGCTATCTTTGTACTTAGCCAATCAAAATTGTATTTACACATTGTAACCTTTACAAAGAAATAAACATTATTATTATTATTTTAGTAACTCCACACCTAATTTCCACACTCCAAATTATTTTATTTTTTTTTTATTATCACACCGGCCGATTCCCACCAAGGCAGGGTGGCCCGAAAAAGAAAAACTTTCACCATCATTCACTCCATCACTGTCTTGCCAGAAGGGTGCTTTACACTACAGTTTTTAAACTGCAACATTAACACCCCTCCTTCAGAGTGCAGGCACTGTACTTCCCATCTCCAGGACTCAAGTCCGGCCTGCCGGTTTCCCTGAATCCCTTCATAAATGTTACTTTGCTCACACTCCAACAGCACGTCAAGTATTAAAAACCATTTGTCTCCATTCACTCCTATCAAACACGCTCACGCATGCCTGCTGGAAGTCCAAGCCCCTCGCACACAAAACCTCCTTTACCCCTCCCTCCAACCCTTCCTAGGCCGACCCCTACCCCGCCTTCCTTCCACTACAGACTGATACACTCTTGAAGTCATTCTGTTTCGCTCCATTCTCTCTACATGTGCCGAACCACCTCAACAACCCTTCCTCAGCCCTCTGGACAACAGTTTTGGTAATCCCGCACCTCCTCCTAACTTCCAAACTACGAATTCTCTGCATTATATTCACACCACACATTGCCCTCAGACATGACATCTCCACTGCCTCCAGCCTTCTCCTCGCTGCAACATTCATCACCCACGCTTCACACCCATATAAGAGCGTTGGTAAAACTATACTCTCATACATTCCCCTCTTTGCCTCCAAGGACAAAGTTCTTTGTCTCCACAGACTCCTAAGTGCACCACTCACTCTTTTTCCCTCATCAATTCTATGATTCACCTCATCTTTCATAGACCCATCCGCTGACACGTCCACTCCCAAATATCTGAATACGTTCACCTCCTCCATACTCTCTCCCTCCAATCTGATATTCAATCTTTCATCACCTAATCTTTTTGTTATCCTCATAACCTTACTCTTTCCTGTATTCACCTTTAATTTTCTTCTTTTGCACACCCTACCAAATTCATCCACCAATCTCTGCAACTTCTCTTCAGAATCTCCCAAGAGCACAGTGTCATCAGCAAAGAGCAGCTGTGACAACTCCCACTTTGTGTGTGGATTCTTTATGTTTTAACTCCACGCCTCTTGCCAAGACCCTCGCATTTACTTCTCTTACAACCCCATCTATAAATATATTAAACAACCACGGTGACATCACACATCCTTGTCTAAGGCCTACTTTTTACTGGGAAAAAATTCCCCTCTTTCCTACATACTCTAACTTGAGCCTCACTATCCTCGTAAAAACTCTTCACTGCTTTCAGTAACCTACCTCCTACACCATACACTTGCAACATCTGCCACATTGCCCCCCTATCCACCCTGTCATACGCCTTTTCCAAATCCATAAATGCCACAAAGACCTCTTTAGCCTTATCTAAATACTGTTCACTTATATGTTTCACTGTAAACACCTGGTCCACACACCCCCTACCTTTCCTAAAGCCTCCTTGTTCATCTGCTATCCTATTCTCCGTCTTACTCTTAATTCTTTCAATTATAACTCTACCATACACTTTACCAGGTACACTCAACAGACTTATCCCCCTATAATTTTTGCACTCTCTTTTATCCCCTTTGCCTTTATACAAAGGAACTATGCATGCTCTCTGCCAATCCCTAGGTACCTTACCCTCTTCCATACATTTATTAAATAATTGCACCAACCACTCCAAAACTATATCCCCACCTGCTTTTAACATTTCTATCTTTATCCCATCAATCCCGGCTGCCTTACCCCCTTTCATTTTACCTACTGCCTCACGAACTTCCCCCACACTCACAACTGACTCTTCCTCACTCCTACAAGATGTTATTCCTCCTTGCCCTATACACGAAATCACAGCTTCCCTATCTTCATCAACATTTAACAATTCCTCAAAATATTCCTTCCATCTTCCCAATACCTCTAACTCTCCATTTAATAACTCTCCTCTCCTATTTTTAACTGACAAATCCATTTGTTCTCTAGGCTTTCTTAACTTGTTAATCTCACTCCAAAACTTTTTCTTATTTTCAACAAAATTTGTTGATAACATCTCACCCACTCTCTCATTTGCTCTCTTTTTACATTGCTTCACCACTCTCTTAACTTCTCTCTTTTTCTCCATATACTCTTCCCTCCTTGCATCACTTCTACTTTGTAAAAACTTCTCATATGCCAACTTTTTCTCCCTTACTACTCTCTTTACATCATCATTCCACCAATCGCTCCTCCAAATTCTCTGCATAATATTTACACCACACATTGCCCCTAGACAGGACATCTCCACTGCCTCCACCCACCTCCTCACTGCAGCATTTACCACCTAAGCTTCACACCCATGTAAGAGTGTTGGTACTACTATACTTTTGTACATTCCCTTCTTTGCCTCCATGGATAATGTTTTTTGTCTCCACAGATACCTCAATACACCACTCACCTTTTTTCCTTCATCACTTCTATGGTTTATCTCATCCTTCATAAACAATACTATACTGATATTTCATGCAAATTGCAATGAATAATCTAAATAGCTTCCCATTAACCATTTAGTTTTATTGATAAAATGGATTTTGGTCCTAGCTTAAGTTTGCTTGAAATGCTTTGCAAAGTTACAATATAAGCCTTCCAAAAATATAATGTAACAGACATATAATATCTAATAAAATATTGTAACATGTAGTATTTTTTAAATTATTTTATTACCATTATTACTGTATATGCATAAATCTTGATATTTCTCTTTACTGCTCAAGATTTATGTATATACAGTAATAATGATTATAAAATAATTTAAAAAATACTAAATGTTACAAGATTATATTAGACATTATGTGTCTGTTACATTGCAATTTTGGAAGGCTCATATTGTAACTGTGCAAAGCATTTCAAGCAAACTTAAGCTAGGACCAAAATCCTTTTTATTAAAAAAATTAAATGGTTAATGGGAAGCTTATTTAGATTATGCTTGAGTTTATGGCAGTTTGAGATAGTTAGAAAACAGTTGAAATTATTCATTGAAATTTGTATGTAATGTCAGTATAGTATTTGAGTGTTTAGTAAGGAAATTGTTCATTAGTGAAGTGTTTGGGTAAGACTTTTCATGCATTACTTTATGTTGACTCTGGAAAATAGCATACTCGTACACACCATTACACAGTGTACAGTATGAACTAAGCTTGCAAAATTCTCTAAATTTATTAGGGGATTACTTGAAACAAGGTTGATACTATTGTATTTTACATATAATTTTTACATTGCAGACCCAGCTGAGACAGCTGTAGCTTTTGCCAAACACATGGAGTCAGAGGTGTTACAGTATGGCCATGTGTCTTGCATTAGTTTGGTGGAACAAACAGGAAAGGAGAAAGTGATTGCTGATGCTTTCCTGAACAACATCTTCCAACTGGACTCTCCCTACCTCACTTTTATAACTTTTGACTTCCATGAATACTGGTACGCTTGTTATCATTTGTTGGGCCAAGTTCTGGAGGGAGTAATGCAATAGCTTTTAGAGTAAAATGACTGGTTATGCAAATAAGCTGATACTTGTCGTTTGTTAGCTCACTGTGTATTGCTTTTGCATAATAATCATTAAGAGAGACGATAAATAAGTGAATTTTGAAGTACAGCCTCTCCTTACTTAGCAGTGTACTTGTTTACCAATGACTCGGACTTAGGACAGGCTCTCTGACCAGTATGCATACCTAAATAATGTATATTTAGAGTTGATTTTCTCTTTATTATAGGATACAGTACACTACTGTATAAACATTGAAAAATATACCAGAAATGTTATAAATGGAGCAATGATGACATTAAAACAGTATCAGAGATGGTTGACACAAACCCACTTCCATTTTAGTATGCTCCTCACTTAGCAACGAATTGAATTCCGTCATTAAGTGGAGGGAGGCTGTACAGTACAGGAAGTAGATATATATATATAGGTAGTAGGTTGGTAGACAGCAACCACCCAGGGAGGTACTACCGTCCTGCCAAGTGAGTGTAAAATGAAAGCCTGTAATTGTTTTACATGATGGTAGGATTGCTGGTGTCTTTTGTCTGTCTCATAAATATGCAAGATTACAGGTACGTCTTGCTACTTCTACTTACACTTAGGTCACACTACACATACATGTCTTTCTTTCTTTCAACACACCGGCCGTATCCCACCGAGGCGGGGTGGCCCAAAAGGAAAAACGAAAGTTTCTCCTTTTCTTTCTTTCAACACACCGGCCGTATCCCACCGAGGCGGGGTGGCCCAAAAGGAAAAACGAAAGTTTCTCCTTTTACATTTAGTAATATATACAGGAGAAGAGGTTACTAGCCCCTTGCTCCCGGCATTTTAGTCGCCTCTTACAACACGCATGGCTTACGGAGGAAGAATTCTGTTCCACTTCCCCATGGAGGTAAGAGGAAATAAACAAGAACAAGAACTAGAAAGAAAATAGAAGAAAACCCAAAGGGGTGTGTATATATATGCTTGTACATGTATGTGTAGTGTGACCTAAGTGTAAGTAGAAGTAGCAAGACATACCTGAAATCTTGCATGTGTATGAGACATAAAAAAAAGACACCAGCAATCTTACCATCGTGTAAAACAATTACAGGCTTCAGCTTTACACTCACTTGGCAGGACGGTAGTACCTCCCTGGGCGGTTGCTGTCTACCAACCTACTACCTAGACACATACATGTACACGTTTATTTATACACACTCTTCTGAGTTTTCTTTGATTTTATCTCAATAGTTCTTGGTCTTATTACTTTTCCTTTTATATACATGGTGAAGTGGAATAAGAATCTTTCCTCCGTAAGCCATGCGTGTTGTAAAAGTCAACTAAGATCCTGGGAACAATGGGCTAGTAACCCCTTTTCCTGTAAAGATTACTAAAAAGAATAAGAAGAAGAAAATTGTCAAAGTGGGAAGTCTGAATGTGCGTGGATGTTGTGCAAATGATAAGAAAGAGATGATTGTGGATGTTAAAGAAAGAAAGAAACTGGATGTCCTGGCTTAAGTGAAACAAAGTGAAGGGGTGGGAGAGTTTCAATGGAGAGAATAAATGGGATTAGGTCAGGGGTTTCCAAATAGAGTTAGAGCAAAGAAGGAGTAGCAATAATGTTGAAGGATAAGCTATGGCAGGAAAAGAGGGGCTACCCAAATGCATAAATTCACGGATTATGTGGAGTAAAATAAAGATTGGGATGTGAAAAGTGGGTTATAGTAAGCGTGTAGCACCTGGAGAAGAGAGAAGTGTAGAGGAGAGAGAGAGAGATTCTGGGAAATGTTGAGTGAATACGTGGGGGGGTTTTGAATCAAGTGTGAGAGTAATGGTGGTTGGGGATTTCATTGCTAAAGTGGGTAAAAATGTTATGGAGGGAGTAGTAGGTAAAATTTTGGGGGGCCAGGGTAAATGTAAATGGGGAGCCTTTAATTGAGCTATGTGTAGAAAGAAATTTGGTAATAAGTAATACATATTTTATGAAAAAGAGGATAAATAAATATACAAGGTATGATGTAGCACGTAATGAAAGTAGTTTGTTAGATTATGTATTGGTGGATAAAAGGTTGATGGGGAGGCCCAGGATGTACATGTTTATAGAGGGGCAACTGATATATCAGATCATTATTTAGTTGTAGCTACAGTTTGAGTAAGAGGGGAGATGGGAAAAGAGGAAAGGGTTGGGAACAAACAAGTAAGAGGGAGGGGAAAGTGTATAAACTAAGGGAGGAGGAAGTTCGGGCGAGATATAAGCGACTATAGGCAGAAAGGTGGGCTAGTGCAAAGATGAGTAGTGGGGGGTTGAAGAGGGTTGGAATAGTTTTAAAAATGCAGTATTAGAATGTGGGGCAGAAGTTTGTGGTTATAGGAGGGTGGGGCAGGAGGGAAAAAGGAGTGAAATTGGTGGAATGATGAAGTAAAGGGTGTGATAAAAGATAAAATGGTAGCATACAGAAAGGTTTTTTCAAAGCAGAAAATGTTACAAGAAGAGCAGAGTATATGGAGAGTAAAAGAAAGGTGAAGAGAGTGGTGAAGAGTGCAAAAGGAGAGCAGATGAAAGAGTGGGAGAGCACTTCAAGAAATTTTAAAAAGAAAATAAGAAAAAAATTTAGGAGTGAGTTAAAAGTTAAGAAACTGGGGAAATATGGTTGTCCGTTAAAAACAGAGTATGAGTTAGTAGATTGGGAGAGGGAGGTTTAGGTAGATGGCGAGAATATTTTTAGGAACTTTAAATGTTGAGGAAAAAAGGAGGCGGTAATTTCTGCATCAGGGAGTTATAAAATCTTTTAATAAAGAAGACAAAATAAATGTGTGAGGTACGTAGATTACGAGAATAAAGGGTGTAAGCATTGGAATTATGGGTCATGAAAAAGTTAAAAGCAGGGGGATTTTAGTGTGGAGTGGTTTACTTTTTTAATAAATGTATGAAAAGGGAAGGGTTGGATTGGGTGGATGATAGGCCTTATAAATGGAAAGGTGGAAAAAGAGTTGTGAATTATGAGGAATAATTTACTGTTAAACCAGGAAAGTATAGGTAGTGGTTTACTTTTGAAAAATTAGAGTAAGAAGGGGAAGTATAATTGCGGATGAGCAAAGGAAGGCTTCAGAGTGGGTAAAGGATGTGAGATAAGTGTTTAATAAGCATATTTGGAAAGTTTTTAGAATAAGGTAGGGAATTTTATTGCAATGATTTAAGAAAAGGATATGTAAGATTTGGAAGAGGACAAGTTGGGCAATGTTGCAGGGTTTATGGAATAGTGGTAAGTACCTAAAATGCTGTAAAGGGTTTATGAGGATAGGGAGCTCAGGTGGGTGTGTAGAAGAGGAGGGGAAACTTCCCGTAAAAGTATGGGTTTAGGCAGGTATGTTGGGAAAGAATGGGGTTTGTAAAAATATTTAGAAGGTTTGTAAAGAAGTAAATGTTGGGTGTTGGAAAGGGTAGGTTTTAATGGGGAATCAAAATTTTAAATGGGAATTGGACACAGTACTTTTTGCTGGAATGGGAAATGTGCTTATGAAGATTCAAGAAAAATTGCAAGGTTATGGATGAGTTTGAGAATGTGTGTAAAGTAGAAAGTTTAAAGTGAACCCTAGAAAAGAGTTAAGGTGATGATGGGGGTCAAATGAATTTTGATAAGAAAAATTGGTATCAAATTGGGGGAGGAGGAGTATGGAAGAGTGAATGTTTTCAGATACTTGGGTTGACGTGTCGGGGATGGATTTATGAAGGATGAGGGTTTAATCATAGGGAAATTTATGAGAAAAAAAGGTGAGTTTGGGGCGTTGAGGGATATGTTGAGTCAAAAACGTTATCTATGGAGCAAAGAAGGGAATGTATGAAAAAATATAGTAGAACCAACACTGTTTTTTATGGGTTTTTGAAGCTTTGGTTGGTAAATGCAGCAGCGAGGAGACGGTTTGGAGGCCCGTGGAGGATGTCCTGTTTAAGGGCAGTGTGGTGTTTTAAATATTATGCAGAAAATTCGGAGTGTGGAAATTAGGAGAAGGTGTGGAGTTAATAAAAGTATTAGTCAGAGGGCAGAAGAGGGGTTGTTGAGGTGGTTTGGTCATTTAGAGAGAATGGATCAAAGTAGAATGACATGGAAAGCATATAAATCTATAGGGGAAGGAAGGCGGGTAGGGGTCGTCCTCGAAAGGGTTGGAGAGAGGGGGTAAAGGAGGTTTTGTGGGCGAGGGGCTTGGACTTCCAGCAAGCGTGCGTGAGCGTGTTAGATAGGAGTGAATGGAGACGAATGGTACTTGGGACCTGACGATCTGTTGGAGTGTGAGCAGGGTAATATTTAGTGAAGGGATTCAGGGAAACCGGTTATTTCATATAGTCGGACTTGAGTCCTGGAAATGGGAAGTACAATGCCTGCACTTTAAAGGAGGGGTTTGGGATATTGGCAGTTTGGAGGATATGTTGTGTATCTTTATATGTGTATGCTTCTAGACTGTTGTATCTGAGCACCTCTGCAAAAACAGTGATAATGTGCGAGTGTGGTGAAAGTGTTGAATGATGATGAAAGTATTTCTTTTTGGGGATTTTCTTTCTGTTTTGGGTCACCCTGCCTCGGTGGGAGACGGCCGATTGTTGAAAAAAAAAAAAAAAAAAAAAAAAATATATATAAATATTTATATATATAATATATATATATATATATATATATATTATATTATATATATATATATATATATAATATTTATATATATATATATATATATATATATATATAATATATATATATATATATATTTATATAATAATATATATATATATATATATAATATATATATATATATATATACAGTGGACCCCCGCATAGCGAACGCCTTGCATAGCGAACATTCCGCATAGCGAACGCTTTGATCGCTAAAAATTTTGCCCCGCATAGTAGACAAAAACCCGCTCAGCGAACTTCGTCCGAGACGCGTCCAATGTGCGGCCTCA